ACAAATGTTAACACATTTACGTTCGAAAATCAATATCGGACTTTTATGAGATATGGTAGAGTCCTTTATTCATAAATTCACCCAAACACAGGCTATTCTGAGGATCCCAGTGTGCTTGGCGTCAACAAGGGTAGAGTTGTTGGTTCTCCCGAGCGTGTTGATGACTCTGAAGGCAAGTACTTACTTGATTTTCGAATCGTCACTGATGTTGCTTTGTTTAAGCCTTATACGGCAGTTCTAGTTCGTATGAGTACACGACGTGTTTATCATTGAGTCGGCTCTTTAGTTTACCAAAACTGATGCCAGTCTTACTCGTTCCTTATCAAGTCTGCAATTCATGGTGGTAAACTGTGAAAACTTGTTAATGATTGACGTGTCCTCATGAAGCTACCTGCTTCTGTTGTCAGTCAGCAAGTTCATTTTAGTCGATTAAACCGTGATCTTAAAGGAATGGTTGATGACTGAGAATTCATTTTTTTAGATTAGGCATCAACGTTCATGTAGAGTTCTCCTTAAAGTACTTCGTGTTTGTAAAGGCAGTATTTTTTTCAAATTCGCTTTTAATAGGCAAGACAGTGGCAGAGCGGAAGGGCACAAGTAAACGGGAGAAACGTCCCCGTGCCTACAATTGGGATCCTTCGAGCGATGACTACACAGGCCCTTGGGCGAAGTATAAGGATGAGGTTACCATTTCGGTGCCCTCGGATGAGGACCGCGCTTACCTGGAGGCTTACTTGGCCAAGAAGGCGGTCAAGAAAAAGCGAGTGGAGGAGGCACCAATGAGTGAGGAGAAGTCCACTTTGCATATCTCCACACCCACAGACTACCAGGTGGATTGTGTTCGCAATCATTCGACAGCCGTCTGCTGGTGCAGGTTCATATATTTTTTTTTATTTCAGGGTCGCTCCTTCCTACATCCACCTCACGACGTTCCTGGTGTCAGTTTGACTACAGAAGAACCTCCAGAACGCTGCTTCTTGCCCAAACGACTCATCCACGAGTGGAGTAATGCACACGCTCGTGGGGTGTCTGCTATTCGTCTATTCCCAAAATCTGGCCATCTTCTACTCTCTGCTGGAATGGACAGTAAAGTTAAGGTTTGTCAACTCAGTTCTGTAGTTATTTTTGTCTTGAGTCATCCTTCAAGCCAAAGATAAAATGGCCTAATTGCGGTGGTCCATACAACAGACTTTTGAGCCAGATGGCGGGACTTGCGTTTTGTTGCGCGATCCTCATTCGTTTTGGCTGCTGCTTGTGGAACTTTGATTGTATTGGAAGGTATCGGGTGCTTTTAACGGCTTATACAAGGTAAAAACGCAGAGTTCTGCCAGGGTTCTTCACGTAGAAATTGATTTGCTTACGCATTTGACTTATGTGTTCATTCCACGAAGCTCTTAAGTCTAAACGACATTATTATTAATATTCTGCCTACTCCTCATTACAATATTAACTCGAACTTCGAAGTCCATTTACTGAAACAATGCTAGCTAGGCTCATCTCCTTTTGCCACCGTATCCCCTTTTGCATGTTTCTCCACTATTCATACTTTTGCAACTCCCTCGTTAATCAGATTCATCTCCCTCTCATTGTCGTTTATCACACGGAAGTTGGTTAATAAACGCATCCACTTTGATGGATCTTCCCTATTTTGTGTCGTTGCAAAAATTTCCCTGTTTGTAGTCCGATCTTGCTAAGCGATAGGGCGTGGTTGTTAACGTGGTATCTCCTAAGTTTGGACCCGATTTTGATATTTTTGCAGGCTCAGATTGAATTACTTAAAGGAAAGGCCTCCATTGTATTCCACTTATTTGGCATTAAAATATATACCTGTATGT